GCTTACAAACTCCTTTCCCTTCCCCTCCCCACAACAGACACCCTGTGAGGTGGGTGGGGCTGAGAGAACTCTGACACAAACTGCTCTTTTTCAAGGACAGCTGTGCCAGAGCTTGTGACTGACCCAAGGTCACATCAGCAGGTGCAAGTGGAGGAGTGGGGAATCAAACCCGGTTCTCCCAGATTAGAGTCCGCACACTTAACCACCACACCAGACTGGCTCTCTGAATGCAACTGAATACTCAAGGAGAAAAGGAGAAGAAGGGGAAAAAACGGCATTTATGTTTCTAGATGCAGAGAAAGCTTTTGACAATGTTTCTTGGGTATTTTTGATGAAAGTTCTACAAAATACCAACTGTGGAACAGAATTTTTAAACTGGACGCAAAGTATTTGCATAAAACAACAAGAAGCTGCGCCTATGACTGTCAAAAGTCTTTAACCCAACCCAGGCCACGAACTTTTGGCGAAGAGGGGCTGCTGCAGATCAAAGTTACAAAGACACCAGAGAGAGGCTAGTCTCACCCGAGCCTTGGTAGCTGCCACCAGTCCTTCCCAGTCTATCCCAACAGCCCGGGAGGGAAAGGACAAATCTTCAGCGAATTAACAAGAAAAGTCAGCCCTGCAGAGTAGGACTGCAGTCTGAGTTTCCAAACACAAAAACAGTTATCCGGTAGGTGGTCAAAGGTCAAGGCTTCTGGAGGAAGGCTTTGAGGGCAAAAAAGGCAGAAATCCACAACAAGGTAAAAAATTATGTAAGGTGCAAAAAAATAGATTAAAAAGACAAGACTGTGAAGGATGTGAAACAAGTAAGTCTAAGCATATTCGGTATGGCTAACGCACAGAGCTAGGTTCCAAGTTACCCAACGCTGGTTCATCCCAGGCAGTTGGTTTCAGTCGTCCAAAGCAGCTCTCTCTCGCAGGGATATCCAGGGGCATAGCCCTCCCAAGCAAGCAGTTCAGGACGGATCCCACCACTGACATACTTCCACGCCATGTAGTAACTGAGCTGCCTTACGGTAGAGGCTAACTAAATCTATGGACAGGGTCTCTGTCTGACCTCAGGCCTGTTAAGCCAATCAGAAACCTGAGAGGTGACGTAACTCTCTGGGTGTTGCTAGCCTCGATGGACCAGAGGGGGAGAGAGAAACGAAACTATACTGCAGTTAAGCCTCGCCTCTTTCCCACAGGAAAAGCCAAAGGTGCAAGCTAGCAGCTCTAAGCTCTGCCTCTGGGGAGGTTTTGTGCAACCTGAACCAAAGATATTTGTGACACAGAGCAAAAAGGAAGGAACCGTTTTTCTTTGCAATGACCCTCCCATCGCAAGAGTCTAGAGTTCAAAAGAACCCGAGAGCAGAGATGGCTTGGCGACAGGTTTGACCTCTGGTCAAAATGTGACGCAAAAGAGAGCAGATGATCTGGCCAACTTGTACGATGGCTTGGGACAGGTTTGACCTCTGGTCAAAATGTGACCTTTTAGTTTCACTGCACTACAAGCTGCCGCTCTGGTTGATCTGTTGCTGGCTCCCCACACTGTGGGGGGTCAGGCTGAGACCAGGAGATGGGATGGGTGTGTGCGCGCCTAAGGCCTCCTAGTGATTTCCTGGCAGAGGCCAGATTGGAACAGGAGATGTCCTGCTACCCAGTTCGGCCTCTTCGCCGTTATGATAAAGCTAGAAGGGTCACCCTATTTAGGCTGTTGCAGCAAACTCCAGAGAAAATCCTGCCTTAAAGACTAAGCCAATTTTTATTGCAGAAGCTCAGCTTTCGTGGCACACAGCCCACTTCATCAGATGCATGACATGCATCCTCGATGAGCAGATATATATATACACACACACACACGGGGGTACAGAAGAAGAAAAAATCTGAGATCAAACAAGATACACAAAGCTAATTTAACACTTAAAAAGGCAAATCCTGCAACGGGGGGACATTGCGGGAAACCAACACATTTGCCTAGTGGATTCTTCAGAATTAGTTCGGTGAGGGACCCCCAATGACTCTGGAAGAGCTCTTCACTGCAATTTGCCTCCCACAATATCAGCAGGTATTGATTTAGGGGCCCAGCGCGGCTTAGGCCGTTCGCTCCTCCAATTTAGCCTCACAACACCCCTGCGAGGTAGGTTAGGCTGCGAGCTGCGTGACTGGCACAAGGTCACCCAGCGACCGTCCGTGGCAAAGCGGGGATCCGAACCTTCACTCCCCAGATCCTAGTCTGACACTTGAACCAGAACCCCACGCTGGCTCTCGGCTACCTGCACATTTCCCCACTGAGCCTTGAGGCCAGATGAACGAGAAGCTCGCTTTTTAAATCGAAAACCGAAAACAAAAAACAAACAAGGACGGTGCCGGCTCCAGAGAGCGTGCCGGGGAGTGACTCACCTCCTGACAGAAGGAGACGATGTTTTCCCAGAGTGCCTTGGCCTCGCCCTCGTCCGTCTGCCGCCGTTTCTCCACGTGCATGCTCTCGCGGCGCCGGAGCGGCTTGGCCCCCGTGCGCTGCGCCAGGTACCCCTGGGGCGTGTGGCAGGCCGCACAGTGCTTGGCCTTACCTTGCGGGCCGAGGGGGCTCTGGAGCTGCAGGCCGGGCAGACGCCCTTCTCCGAGCCGCACTCCGGGCACTTGGCGGCCGGCTCGTGCTCTTGGAAGCCGTGGAGCTTGGAGGAGCCGCACACCTTGCACTTCTGGGAGGCGGTGGGGTTCTTCAAGGTGCACTTCGAGCAGGACCAGGTGGTGAAGTCGGGGCTGGAGGGGCCGCCGGGGGTGAAGCGCACCGAGTCCCCCGTCAGGTCGATGGTGTCGCTGCCCCGCTGGTGGCTGCAGGCCTCGCAGGAGCCGCCCCCCGAGGCGTTGAGGACGGAGCAGGTGCTGCACTTCCAGGGCGAGGGGCTCACCTCCATCTCTTCCTCCAGGGCGCTCAGCCGCTTGGTGGCCAGCAGCTCCTGGAAGCGGAGGGCCTTCGGCACGGGGGCCGGCGGGGAAGCGGGCTGGGAGGTCTCGGGCGGCACCGGGGGCTGCAGCTGCGGGGGGACCTCTCGGCGGCTGCGGGGAACCGGGTTGTTTTGGAGGGCGGGGGAGAAAAGGCTGAAGCCTGGCACCTTCTGGCTGTCCTGCTCCGGGGGGTGGCTCTCCGGGGTCTCGGCGGTGGCGGCGCCGGGCTGAGGGGGGGCGGGGGCTATGTGGAAGCCGGCCGGAGCGATGACTTCAGGGACGACCAGCGCCTCTGGCGGGATCTTGGGCAGCGAGAGCTTGCGGGGCCCCCCGCAGGCCGAGCAGGAGTTGGCCACGGGGGTGTTGTGGAGGGTGCAGCGCTGGCAAGCCCAGCCGTCCTCCGGGGCCGTTGCCTCCTCCGGGCTCTTCCCGCCGGAGTCCTCGCTGCCGCTTTCACCCTTGGACATCTCCTCCTGACATGTCCCCTTGGGCTCCACCAAGACGGTGGGCTTGGGCAAGACCCCGTTGATGATGGGCAGCGGCGAGCCCCCCGGGCCGGGCTCGGGGGTGAAGCCGCACACCTCGCAGGTCTCTTTGCCCAGGTAGTTCCGGAAGGTGCAGCGGGCGCAGGCCCATTTCTGCTCTTCCACGCTCAGGCGCAGGATGTGGTTGAGGTCGGGCTTCTGGCGGGGGGCCTCACAGATGGAGCACTGGCGCTGGCCCACGGGGTTCAGGAACGTGCAGCGGGTGCAGGACCATTCCCGCACGGTGGCCATAGAACCAGGAGAGTGGGTGTGGCTGCAAGAGAGAAGATGGCTGTTACTGAAGGACAGAGGAGAAGCCCATGTGGGATCAGGCCAGTGGCCCACCCAGTCCAACGCTCTGAGTCACACAGGGGCCAAAACCCAGGTGCCCTCAGGAGGTCCACCAGCGGGGCCAGAACTCCAGAAGCCCTCCCACTGTTTTCCGCTAAGCACCAAGAATACACAGCATCACTGCCCCAGACATAAGAACATAAGAGAAGCCATGTTGTATCAGGCCAGTGGCCCACCCAGTCCAACGCTCTGTGTCACACAGTGGCCAAAACCCAGGGGCCCTCAGGAGGTCCACCAGCGGGGCCAGAACTCCAGAAGCCCCCCCACTGTGGCCCCCCAAGCACCAGGAATACAGACCATCACTGCCTCAGACATAAGAACATAAGAGAAGCCATGTTGGATCAGGCCAGTGGCTCACCCAGTCCAACGCTCTGTGTCACACAGTGGCCAAAACCCAGGTGCCCTCAGGAGGTCGAACTCCAGAAGCCCCTCCCACTGTGCCCCCCCAAGCACCAAGAATACAGGTCATCCCTGCCCCAGACAGAGTGCTCCATCTATACCTTGTGGCTAATAGCCACTGATGGACCTCTGCTCCAGATGTTTATCCAGTCCCCTCTGGAAGTTGTCTGTGCTAGGCGCCACGACTTCCTGTATTACCAAACCCAGCAAGGGCCGGGACAGAGAAAGAAGCCGTGGCAGGAAAAGTTTCTGGGTTAATAAATACGAGTGTTTATGCAGGCCACTTTAAAATGCTCCCTGACTATCATATGTGTCATCCCAGAACTCCTTGTAAAGAGAGCCTGCTCGTATTATTCTCTCTAGAGGGCTGTAGGGGGTCGCGTGTCTGTACCTGAAGCAAAGAGGCCAGAAATTGCCTAAAGCAGTGGTGGCGAACCTATGGGACGGGTGCCAGAGGTGGCACTCAGAGCCCTCTCTGTGGGCACGCGTGCCATCGCCCCAGCCAGGCCCAGACCATCGTGAAAGTGTCGAATTCTCTGCCAAATGATTTTAAGTAAATGAAAGCCTTTGGGATTGCTTTCCTTACTTTGTTTGGATCATCT